CCCCCCCCCCCCCCACTGTTATTTACTTGATAGAACTACCAACTATAGTACTGGGTTAATGCATATACAGCCTGTTACAGAACTGAAACAAGCTTGCCTAAACGCTTGATACAATGATAGCGTGGGTGATGCATACAGTATTGGTTGGGTGTAAAAAGGACTCCGATATTTGACCACGTTTTAATCAAGCCAGTTTATTGACAGTACAGAGAGGTGGATTCCAAAATGATGCTCATTTTCTCTCTCTCAATTCTAGGTTTAGATGCCCGCTGAATTAATAGCAGACAATAATTAATAGCGGAAAGAATCGAGCAATACATATATTTTTATATCTAATGCGCCAACTGAAATTGGTTTCGCGTATCCCCTCATACAATACATAGGTAGATCTTTTACGTGTTCATTATGTTATGAATATTGAACCTATAATCGGTCTATCAATAAATTAGCTTAAAGTGAGGGAAAATTAGAGCTCCTGAGCACAAAATAAGTGTTCATATAGTTCATATGTGAGAACGTACTAGGGACTTTGCATTTTTCTATCTGAAATTAAACTATTTTATTCGTTGACTGACTATTTATGACTATGTATGACAAGTTGTTTAACATTATATTCTCACAATGTACTCGTAAAAACATATTACGTTATATATAAATAAATGCTAATCAACGAGTGTTAATTATAAACCGTGTATAATTAATAAAGATAGGATTTTTAGTTTTTGTTTGATGATAATGCTCAAGTGATTTTTTTTATTACAGGTGATGGGGAAGACATTGAATGTCTTGTTGAAAAATCTTCAATCGTTTGTCGATAACTGTTACGATACAATTGCTTTATTCTTATGCCTACACTTAGTTATGCGGTATCAATTGACATGCCATAAACGAGCAGTGCCAGCATTAGACAAATATTGGGACAACCTTACATCAGTGATCTGGCCGCGGTATGTATTAATCGTAACTTTTACTTTAATAATCCCTTAACATAATCCCTTTTTATCCCTATAAACATAATCCGTTTTTCTCTCTTCATTCTAGATTTGAATACGTATTCCAGTTAAATATTCAGAGCATAAGAGATTGTGATCCTTTGAAGTTTAATAAAGAAATGGGACCTCATTATGTAAGTATCTGTCGCATAAATATTTGTAACGTATGCTTATTCACAATATGGCAGCGCATTATTCACAATAATGATATGGATCATGGTGACAATATAGATTACAAGGCGATATGCGGAATTCAGCGCAGCGATGATTGCAATAGTTGAAGGTTTTCCCTGCGAAGGAGCAACGCAGTTAATAGCCGAGTTGAGAGAAGCAGTCCAATGTTTTCTTTTAAGAATGGCAGCAATTTTTCCCCAGAGGACGCAGCAACTAGTGTTCCTGATTAATAATTATGACCTTATCCTGGGAGTACTCATGGTTAATAAATATTATTCCAGTTTTTATGAAAGTTTTTATTAAATCGAAGAATGTTTGAAATATATCTTATCTTTATTTTACTTTAGGAAAGAACGCGCGATAATTCAAAGGAAGCAGAGAGTTTTCGAGAACAGTTAAATACACGATCGTCTGAATATGTTGAAGAGGTGTTGAGTCCTCATTTTGGCGGTGTAATCCAGCTAGTAAAGGAATCGGAGGCGTTTCTAGAAAAAGGACAAGTAGAGGACTTGAAGCGACAAGAAGGGAAAGCACTGGCCTTGGTACAATCATTTACAAATAATTGGAAGCGGTCTTTAGAAGAAATCAGTGCCGAAATTTTGCGCTCATTTCCGAGTTTGGTACTGGGCGCAGCACTTGTTCAACGTTCAATGACACAATTAGTGCAATATTACCATCGACTTCACAAGATCTTACCAGCAAGTGCTAGGGCACAACTCACTAATATTCATCATATCATGGTTGAAATCAAAAAGTATAAAATAAATTATTGATAATTTATATTATCCAATGCGTTGAAATGAGCCTATCGGCTCATTTACCTTAAAGTTAGCCCTAGCATATAACATTTCATATCCAGTTTAACCGGATCGTTAGTCTAATCTGCCAACCTACACTTCAGCGATTTCATATATGCAAAGTTCCTTTTTACCCCAAATCGTAAAGAATGAAACTCATATGGTGACATTTGCATTACAAATCGAAAATTATTAAAAACAATATTAGTGCAGAATATGTTGTATATTCAGCTTTTTAGTCGTAAATGGCAGAATATTAAAAAAAGACAAGGGCTCAAGAAATTCTGTAAATTTCGTTGATTTTTAGTAACTGTATGCAGGCTATTGCACTATGAAAAATATTATAACATAGGATACAAACAGTACAAGAGGTGGATGTGGGAAGGAAGGGTGAGAAAAAGGTTCAGGAGTGCTGGCAAAAAAAGATTTGGAAGTTAAAGAGGTTTAAAGTTCGAGGCAGTAACCAACGAACTGAAAGAGGAAAATATGATTTGAGCAAATGAGGAGGTAGACAAGTAATGACACACGATGAAGAAAGAAAGTCAAAAATGAAAGAAACGAGTGAGCATATCACGATGGCAGGAGTAGCATGTAAAAAGGTAGGAGAAGGGAGGAAAAAAGAAAGATTTCAGAACCAAAAATCAAAAATGGTAGGGAAAAGATCAGAAGTATAGGACGTATAGAAGAATTCTTGGAGAGGAGAAGAGAAGACTTAGGAGAGAAAAGCGAAGAAGGAGAAAGGTGGGCCACCCAAAAAAGCGTGACAGGTGACCATCAGAAAAGGAAAAGCAGAATAAGAAAGAAGAATAGTTCAAAGACCGAAAAATGGAGAAAGGACGAGAAAGGGATAGAAGAAAAGATAAAAAACATATAGGACTTATCAGGAGTGGAGAGGGAGGCCTTCAGAAGGATCAAAGAGATAGAAAGAAGTTTACAAGCGTAAGCGAGACAAGAGAAGAACATACAGAAGAACAGAGAATAAACTAGCGCGCCACACGCGGCCTTCCGGCCACAGTGGCTTGCCGCCTTGCATCGCCTCGCGATGCAAGGCGCGCAAAACGCTTCGCGTTTTGCGTGTAAGGCACGACCGCTGACGTTCGCGCTTTGCACTCACCAGCCCACCGACGCTCGCACTTCGTGCTCGCCCAAATTTCTCTACAATTGTGCTTAATTGTTGGACAATCGTTTATATTTCATAGTTATATAATGTATTGAATATATACAAATACAAAGATTCAATTTAAACCGATAAATTCTTTAACTTCAATAAAAATGAATGTTGTAAAAACTTGATTTTGGTTTGCTAACTTGAGTAGAAAGCATTTTCATGATTTGATGTCAACAGGAAAAAGTTGTATTTTTGAAAGATCTGCAACTTTTCCATTTAACGTTTTTTTGTAGAATGCTTAGAATTCGAGTTACAGACAAATAGCCGTTTTTAGCGATTTTTGGAGGTGACCGCATTCTGCGTATATGTACAGGATCAAGCTCAAAATAGAACCATAAGGTTCTAGTGATGAGAGGAGTCACCACAAAAAATTTTAGCCCGATTTACTGAAGTCTCTCAGAGGTAATCGTGTAACATGAAAATTTTTATTAAATAATACACGAAAAAATCGTAAAATCAATCAAATTGTGCTCCCATTTTGAAACGACGTAGAGGATCGGGATAAAAAAAATAGTTTTTTAGTTTGTACGAGAGGAGACCTCCCCCAAAATTTCAGCCCGATCGGCCGAAAATTGCGTGAGATATCGCATCTCACACATTTTTCGCGATAGAAACTATAAGGCACTTGCGTATCGCGGTCGTGCCTAAAAAGGAGGTCCCTGTAAGTGTTAGACGAAACGGTGGAAAGAAATATGAGGAAATTGAATGTGTAGGAGATTAGGAAGAATATATACAGAATTTATGAGGGGGAACTGAAAAACTGGGAACAAAAGAGATGTGATAAGAAGTTACTATAAGGCAAAATCAATCAAATTGTGCTCCCATTTTGAAACGACGTAGAGGATCGGGATAAAAAAAATAGTTTTTTAGTTTGTACGAGAGGAGACCTCCCCCAAAATTTCAGCCCGATCGGCCGAAAATTGCGTGAGATATCGCATCTCACACATTTTTCGCGATAGAAACTATAAGGCACTTGCGTATCGCGGTCGTGCCTAAAAAGGAGGTCCCTGTAAGTGTTAGACGAAACGGTGGAAAGAAATATGAGGAAATTGAATGTGTAGGAGATTAGGAAGAATATATACAGAATTTATGAGGGGGAACTGAAAAACTGGGAACAAAAGAGATGTGATAAGAAGTTAAAAGAAAAAAAAAAGTAAATAAGGTCTACGTAGACAATGATTTAACAAAGAAGGAAAAAGAAGTACAGAAAGGGCAAATAGGGGCTAGTACGCAGCGAGAAGGGCAAAAATAGGATTTATGGAAATATGGGGAAATGGATGAGAATTCAGATGAAACGAGGGGAAAGAAGAGTTAAAGAAAGGCGAGGATTAACATACACAGATTGATAGGATAAAGAAAAAGGATAGATATAAGAGAAAAAAGAATAGGAAGGGGAGAAAAAGAAGAGGGGTAATGGTAGAGGAGGGAGAAAGATGAGGATTGAAAATGTCATTTTGGGAGGTAAGAGAGAAATAAAGAAATAAAGGGTGAAATAAGGATGAAGAATATTGAAAAAATAGTAAAAAAATAGTAAAAATAGTAAAAAATAGTTTTGTTGAAGACATGATTGGAGGAAAATGTGTGAGAAATTAGGAAGTGAAATACTGGAAAAGTATACATGGATCGTTCAAGGAATGGGGAGAGCAAAGAAGAGGCGAAAACAAGAGAAGAATGGTAATGCTAATAAAGACGCAAATAAAGGAAATAAGGGAGATCTGGCAAGAGGAATACAAGCAAAAGTGAAGGAGGGGAAATGTGATGTATAATCGAATGTATTGTAGAAAAAGAAAAAAGAAACTGTTAGGAAAAGTGGACGAAGAGTTTGAAAAATGGAGATAAAATAGAAAGAGGGTGATAATCGTAATGCAAGAATAGTCAATAGAGGGTGATATGGAGTTGAAGGAAAGAAAAAACGGCAAAAAACACCAAGAATAAGAAAAGGAACTGAGAGGAAGAGGGCTAATGTTCAAGAAAACGTAGAGGAGAATTAATGTTCGCCGGGAAATAGAGAATGGGAAGATGAAATACAAAAGAGAGGAGTGGAGAAGGAACTGATGAAATTAATAAGTAAAGAAAAGAGAGTGCGGGCGAGCAAGGAAACGAGATGGAAAAGGAGAGTGGAAGAGTTAACATAGTATGATAAGAGAGCGAAAGTGAGTGGTAGGAAATAAACTGAGAAAATATAGGAAATGGGGAAACAAGGACGTATGCGTATTGGAGAAGCGGAGGAGATGTGCAAGAAGAAGAGGACGGGATATAGAAGGATTTTTTTAAGTACATAAAAAGAAAAAACCAAACAAAGAAGTGGTAAGTGCAACAATAAAGGTAGTGAATTGGTACAAAAAAAATACTAAGGAGAGCTGCTACCACGGGTTTTCAACTGCTTGAATAAAACATACTAGTTTTAATGAATGTGAGCAGATTGGACGTCTCTTTGCTCCTGGAATTTTCTGCGGAAATGTAAGAAAAGAGGAAAACAAGGAGGAGGAAGAGAGAAGAAAGAGAGAAGAAAGTAAGCGAAGTGACCGTTAGCAATAAGGCAGGATCAAGAGAAGGAATCGGTTGGCGGAGAGGCAGTCAGTGTAGCATTAATAGAGTATACGGTAGAAAGTATTTGGAGGGAACTCAAAAACCAGAAAGGGAGATGCATAGCAAAGGTAAAGGGAAAATTGGTGGAAACGTTTTATCTGCAGAGACAACTTATTGTAATCTCAAAATATATAAAAATATTCGCACAACAATAAATGATTTAATACTATGTATTAAACAAGAAACGAAGATAACAAGTCATAAGGAAGTTGCAAGAGAAAACACGAAGGAGCAAAATAAGCACAGGATTGAATAATATATATTCCATATCATTGTATCTTCTATCAACGTTTTTCTGTTTTCGAGTACTGGTTCGTGATGTGTAATTTATACTATACTATTACTTCAAGCGTATGAAGCAAGGGAAAATTAAAAGTCAAGTTTATTATATCTAATAAGATCTGAAACTATGAATAATAAATTATTGATAACCATAGTTCGAAAAATGTGAATATCCTAATGTACTAGTGGAAAATTGAAGATGTAATACTTGGAAAAATTAGAAAGAAGTTAGAATTTACATGCAATATGTTGAATTACACGGAAAAGTTAGTAAATATTCTGTTTTTTTTTTTTTTAGATAATGAAGTACTTTATATAAATAAAAATATTTCAGTACATAAAACAATTGATAAAAATTACTGTGGTAAAAGCTATACCACATCTTGTATTACAGAAATAGTATACTAATTATTTTTAGAATAAGTGCGACAGTTAACAACATATAAACTTATTTTGAATTAAATAACCATTTATAACCTACCAATTATCTTTCCTAATTTTTTTTAGTGAACTGCAAAGAATGTCTACTGATTTTATACATTAGAAATACAGTACTTAAACAAGAATTTTTTTTTTAATACAGCACAATCTTTATCTGTCCATAGGTCACATGAGAAGTATTGTACTCAGGAGTCATCATGACAATTTTGCGAGTAGAGTGCACTACAGTAAATTCATTTCGCACCAGATAAGAGTATTATTTCCGAAGCGCCGGATTTTAGTGGTGAATTTTAAGCCCTTTGCTGCATACATTTTTTCTTACAAGCGATTTATTAAAAATTGGGTACTCGGCGGTTTTTGGGGTCGCTGATCACGAATCTGGGGTCAAATTCCAGATATTTAAAATAGCGGATCTAATATAGCTGATCGAAACGCAAAAAATAACTTGTTTTGAATTAAATTCTGTAGTGTATGTATTGCAACGCTATTTTCTTTTCTATCCATAAATAATTTTCCCGAGATATCGCAAAAGTAAGTCAACCCCGTGAATTCTCCAAAATCGAAAACGCGGCAAAAACTGATTTGGAGGTCAGGTATACCGCAAACGGGAAGGCTCGCTTATAAATCTGGAAAGGGATCTCGGATCCCTGTAGCTACAACTAATCCTAAAACTAACCTAAATCGATACATCTGAAAAATCTTAGATCTAAACTTAAGGACCCTAAATGATAATCTTAAAACTACTATCTCCGAGGGAGACACCACCAGACAAGAATCCTCGACGTAGTTGACCTTACTAGTCTGAAAATCTAAGTACTAAAGTGATAATCTTACACCTAAAGGCTAGCGGGAGTCCGAATCTCAAAATGTGTTGTTAAATGGGATGACTCAAGACTACAGAACTAAACAGTATGCCCAGTTCTACAGCCAGCTCGGCTGGGGGAGCGTCGTGGCGTTCCGAAGCAAGATAGGAAGGTTAAAAACTCAAGTTCGAATGAAGGAAACAGAAAAGATTCCAATTAGTTAATGCACCAGAGCTGTATTGAATCACAAATTCATGCGAAGCATAGAGTAGAAAAGTAGTTAAGTAACCAAAGAAGGTACTTGGCGAAGGCGTGTGGCAATGCTTAGGTGCGACAATCAGAAGTCAAAATATTTAACAAAAATCCTTAAAAGTAGGTTTACAAAGCAGGAAGAATTTTAAAAAGATAAGAGAATATAAACTAAAAATCGTATACTAACAAGAAAGGTAAGTAGTTATATACCACTTCTGGCCGTCACAACAAACCCCCACCACTGTCCCCTGTGAGTCATGGAGCGCGCAGCGCTCTGACCCCCTGCGCTGCACTATGGCGCCACCCTCTCGCCTACGTTACCAGCTCTCCCCTCCCCCGCGACACTGTGGTGGATCCCCCACCACGCGGCCCTGGTCATGAGGCCCGAAACCACCCAGTAGCAGCGTTGCATCTCCCCCAGGGGCCGTATCACGGTCGGTAATTATGCATTGACCGCCGGTCGGTAACTTTTTAATTACCCTACGGAGGTAACGTAGTAAAGTAGAATACGGCTCTTTTTTGTAAGAAATACCTTATATTATACAAGCATTGTACGCATTGGCGATACTTTTTCGATACCTTTAGCTATCGATGGGTGGTCATCCAACCCCCTAATATTTTACTCGGGATGAACCCTCCACATATAAAGTAATTGCTTCTGGAATGCTGGTGCCCCTCTTTTGCTTAATCTAGCGAACGATGCGCAAATACGGTTGGCGTGGGGGGTACCACTGTCTTGACCAACCCTATGTATTCCAGGCCCTCGTAACCCCCTACTACATGTGTCTCTTATTTGCAACTATGCAAAAAATCAGGGCTATGGTGGGGAAAAAGGTTACCTGTGAGAAGTCTTCGCAGCATCTCGTGAGTACATTGGTGATAGTTCAGATGGTACGAATATTATATAAAATTGAAGAGATTGGTGATAGGAGAAACAACGGTAAGTGTAAAAAAAAGTTCTTGTTCCTGCTTTCAACCATCTTTATTTTATCTAACGTTTACCCTGTTTTCTAGGCTAATTCGGGAAAAGAAAAAGAGAGTGCGGAAAAAAAAAGGAAATATTAATAAAGTGGTATGCATATCGGTGTTGAACTTGTATACATTTAAAAAAAAAGTTATTTTGTATCTGACATCTTTGACATTTATTTCTAGATATTACAAAAAAAGGACGAAGCGCACCAGGCCCCTTCAGGCTACAGCCGAGTGTCACCGGAGCTGTAAGTGTAATAATTTTAAACCTACACAGATTTTTATTTGATTTAAAAAATTGTATTTATCCGACACCTTTTACGCTTGTTTCTAGACGCAGCAAGGACGCACAGCGTTATCCAGCGTGATTGTTAACCATATATATATATATTACAGGACCGGTAAGTGTAATAATTTCAAGACTACCCTGTTTTGTATTTACTTTAAGCATATTTATTAACAACAAAAAACTGAAATGTTACAGATCATGGCGCCAAGACGGCCGGATACACCACCCTAGGGGGCAGAAGGACCATTCGAGGGGCCACTGCTGGACGGGATACCGCCGCCCCTCAATGCGTTCTTCGCCCGCTTTCACGAGGGCCAGTGCATATTCGGCTGTTTATACGTGCGGGGCGGGGAGGAGGCGGGGCTATACTACGGGTGCATGCGAGCGCAGACGCCCGAGCACAGGGTTCAGTACACGGCGCGTGTGAAGCACTATTTAAAGATCGACCCCGCGATAGATCTGCGCGTGGGCGTCTATGTACGCTGTGCTCGGTGTGTGATGCACGCGTATGCACCTGGTGATTGCATAACCTGCATAGGGTACTTCTGCGACAATAGGGAGCTGCTATTAAGGCAGGGGGTTGCAGAAGACCCTCCCCCGCCCCAGGTGTAAAATGTAATATGTAAATATGTAAATATGTAAATTTTTATTATATAGTGTATATATTGTGACGTTAGACACAAATGAAAACCGATAAGGTGGATCTTACGTCAGCAAAAACGA